TATTTAATATATTATTATTTAATATATTATTACATATTTTCAAAAATTAAACCACCAAACGCAGTTTTAGTTTTTTTTAAAACTGAAATCAATCTCTAAATAAAACTACCAAACGCATTTTTAAAAATAATTCAAAAATAAAATTAAAAATATTTTCATTTTTATTTTCGTACAGAAAATAAAAATATTTTGGAACCAATTCCAAACGCACCCGTTATTTGTCTCGTTATCCGCTCTAAAATTTTCATCAGAAGACCCAAACCCAAAGACACAATGCTAGGTACAAGGTCTGTATTCGGTAAATAAACAATTTGTAGGGAGGGTAAAGTCGTAAAAAGACCCAGTCACCGCGCCCCGCTTTGGCGCACCAACGATGATTTTGCTTTCTTGAACGGAACAACTACCCGGGGGCCAGAGATTAAGAGAGAGACAGAGACAGAGACAGAAATGGGGCTCTGATAGCGAATGCCATCAGCATCTGTTATTTACTCTCGCTACAGCCAAAGTCAGAGATTAGTCTTCTCCTTCTCTCTCTAAAAATTCTCTCTCTAAAGATCTTAGATCTCTCTCTTCTTTTTGATCTCTTTTTTCCCTGAACGTCTCCCCACACTTTCCCGAGAAAATACTAGAGATCATTATTATTATTTTTTCTCGTCGGCGAAGAAGGATATGTCGGACGCTTTGATCAATGGGCTCGCCGGAGCTGGCGGAGGGATTATCGCTCAGCTCATCACATATCCTCTTCAAACCGTAACAATTTTCACTTTCTTTCTTTTTTTTTCGTTTTTTGGTTTCGTATTTAATCTGTCTTGTTCTTCGATATTGTTAATTTCTTTCGTTTTGTTTCGTTGTGATCCGTAGGTGAATACTCGTCAACAGACGGAGCGTGATCTCAAGAAGGAGAAGAGGAAGCTAGGAACTATTGAACAAATGTGTCAGGTCTTGAATTTCAATTTTCTTTTCAAGTTTTTTAATCGTGTTTTCATTTCATGCATTTTCTCGGCAGCCGAGCAGTTATTTTGCTGTTTTTCTTTCAATTATTATTATCTCTATGTTCAGGTTGTAAAACACGAAGGATGGGGACGATTATACGGAGGTTTAACGCCGTCGTTAGCAGGCACGGCTGCTTCTCAGGTGAGCTGGCGTTATCTCTCGCTGAAGTTTTTTTTTTTTCTTTCTTTTGATATTTTTTTTAGTGTTTATTGGAAGAAAATTTTCTTAACCGTTTTGTTTCTAAACATAAATTATGGATCAACTTAGCCCTCCTGGGAGAGAAAATTTGTGAAATTTCAAGATTTAATAAAAGAGAAAGGATATGTAAATTCGAAAGGTCAAATTGCACACAATGGAGAGTGTGTACATATAGGTATAGAGTACTAGGATATTAGTTTGTCGCTAAGATATATGGAGTTTCTTGTTTCTTGGACGATAGATTGGACAAATTCTTGAGAGTATGGGTGCTTTTTTTTTTTTTTTTTTCTGGAATGATTTTGGATGCAAATGGCATGTGGTCCCATGACTCTGAAGTATGTGCCACTGTTGCATTCACTTTCTGTGACATATTATCTGCATCATTTCAGATAACTGTCTTTGTTATTAATCTCAAAAATCTGTCCCTCCACTATTTGGTTGTCTCTGCCCGTAGTGCAAAACCAGGAGCCTACAAATTAGAATTACAATTTTCTAGGCAAGTTAATACTGATAATGATACTTTCTCGAGGATTATTCTGTAGAGTGTTAGTTTGATCCCGTTGCACATCCAAATTCTTCTAGGATGTAAATATTGTTCGGTTGTAAGCTTTAGTGACACCAAATGATGACCTACACTGAATTATTGTAAACCACAAGAGTTGGTTGATACTTGATACTCCTACTTGAAAACTACAATTTATCTATTGAACTTGCATAACTCAATAATGGAAAATTAATAAAAGAGCTGCTTCGAAAGTAGGCCATTGATTAAAATAGGATCACCTTCTTGTAGGACTTTCTCATGTTTTTCATCTCTTCTTCCCTTATTTGTACAGCAAATGAGTGTTTATTGCTTATCCACATGCTGAACTTACCTGGTCAAAAGCCGATATGAGGGCCTAAGGCCCTAAAATGATTTTTTTTTGTTGGTATTCTTGTATGTAAGTTTCTAAACAATGAGAGAGCTCATAGATAACCGGAAGTCGGATATTGGGGGGAATTCTCCTATTGAACCCATAGTTATTAAGAAAAACTTGTATAGCTTGTATAGATTGCTATTTTATGAGGAGGCAATGATAAGCCTCCCCTGCGGTTCACTTATGCTAGGAAGAGATTTCATGGGAAGAAACCCATAGGAGTAGGAGACGGGAGAACATCTCTACTGGTGGTAGGAGGTGGGCTGAGTTGGCACATGAAAGGAAGGGGATTGGAGGAGTTAGTTTGTTAGTTTTGCCTAGAAGTTTGGAATTAGGTGCTGAGGCTTTTCGGTTAGGGAATGATAGTAATCGGAATAAATAGGATAAGGAAGAGAAAAGAAGGCATTGATCATTTTGCTAGAAAGAAATTAGCCGAGCTTTGCTCTAGGGAGTGCAAGGGGTGACTCGAAAACCCCTATATCTTGTACTCTTTTTCTAATTTCCTCAATAGCAATATCAGTATTATTTCAGCTTGATCGATCAATTTTCTTGCATATTTGCTCTAAAATTGCGTGATAGTTTGTGGTTCTATCAATTTGGTATCAGAGCACCATTATGGGAATGACGAAGCAGATCGATGATCGTGAGAAGGAGAAAACAAAGGTGGTTAAGGAGGAATTCCAGAAGGAATTGGAGTTGATTAAGGAAGACTTGAAGAAAATCCCTAAGCTCGAGCAAGGCATGGAAGTTCTACTGGCAAAGATGGATGACCTGTTGAAGTAGCGGAGTGGGCCAGATCTGGAACCAACGTCGTTAGGGAGCGCAACCCCAGTGACAGTCGGCGCTAACTGAGGAGTCTAGTGTGAAGGAGGGGGGAACGCGAGAGGGGGGAAATCGCATGGATTTCCGGACATGCTGGGTGGAAATGCCTGTGTTCGATGGAAATCCCGATGGGTGGATCTTCCGAGCCAAGAGGTATTTCACTATGAATAAAATGACAGAGAGCGAGAAGCTGGATGTGGCAGTGGTAAGTCTTGAAGGTAGGGGTGTAAGAAATTACCCCGAACCCGAATAACCCGGCCTATCCGACCCGACCATACCCGAAATTATCAGGTTTTCTTTTCTTTTCTTTTCTTTTTTTTTGGTTTCCAATTCTCCCAACCCGCAATGTGCTGGTAGAGTTGCGGGCCGGGGTCCATTTAACCCGTTTACCCCCGACCCGGCCGCATGAATTTTTGCCTCTTATGTAAAAAAGCCCTACAGCTCAGGACTTATTCATTTTTTCTCTCGATCATTTGCCACCGCTCACCCTAAGTCTCTGCGTTTGAGACTGATTCGTTCTCATAAATTTCTCACTTCTTCTCAGTTCCTCCCCAAGTCTCTGCCGTTCCTCGTCTTCTAACCCGAGCCTACCCGGCCTACTTACACCCCTACTTGAAGGGGAGGCTTTGGCCTGGTTCCAATGGGAGGATGGCTGGCGAGCTATTCGCTATTGGTGAGCTGAAATTAATGGTGTTAGAACGATTGCGGCCGACGCAGGAAGGAGGCCTCTGCGAAAAATACTGTCGCTCCGCCAGTTGATGACAGTCAGGGAGTATCACAAGCAGTTTGAGGTATTGGTGGCGCCTTTGACGGAGAGATATCAGAGCAAGTCTTGGAGAGTACCTTCATAAACGGATTGAAATCCGAGATCCGGATGTTGAAGCCTAAGGGATTGGGCCAGATCATGGAGTTCGCCTAGCGGGTGGAGGAGCGTAACCTGTAAGTACGAGGTCCAAAGGCCTAAAACACCCAGCTCAGCACTTGGAACAAGGAGGGCCCAACTACTTCTGGGCTTAGGCGAAAAGAGGGAACGACACCGTTGGTTAGGGCTACCAATTTCGCAGAAAAAAACACGGAAGGCGGTGCGGCGCGGCGCCATTCTGGCAATTAACTGATGTTGAGCTTCAAGCAAAACGGGAGAAAGGCCTCTGCTACCGTTGTGATGGAAAATATTCCGTGGTACATCGTTGCCCAAATCGTGAGTTATTGGTGCTTATCTTCAAGGAAGAGGAAGTACAACTAGAACCTAAGGAAGAAGACGCAGGGAGATTGAAGAGGAGGAGTTGATTGAGCTCTCACTCAATTCGGTGGTGGGTCTTACAGCACCAAAGACCATGAAACTCAAGGGTATGGTTTGAGGAAGTGAGGTAATTATTCTAATTGATAGCGGGGCTACCCATAATTTTATTTCGGTTGAATTGGTGGAACAGTTGGAGTTGCCAATGGATCAAACCGGAGGGTATGGGGTGGTTATGGGCATTGGGTTATTTGTAAGAAGGGAAGGAGTTTGCCGAGGGGTGGTGGTTACGCTACAAGAGATAGAGGTTGTAGAAGATTTTCTACCCTTGGAATTGGGTTGTTCTGATCTGATCTTGGGCGTCCAGTGGTTGGAAACTTCGGGCTTGATGACTGTGAATTGGAAGACCTTACTCATGAAGTTCAATATTGGCGGCAAACAAGTAACATTAAGGGAGGATCCAGGGCTTAGCAAATCTTCAGTCTCACTCAAGTCATGATAAGGGACCTTAAGCATGAGGGAAATGGGTTGTTGATTGAGCTGAATAGCTTGGGGGTGGACTCTTGTGAGGAGGAAAAAGAAGTGCCACTGGAATTGAAGGCGGTGCTACAAAGGCGAGAGGCGAGCTGCGATGTTTGAGAGGCCATCGGGGTTGCCTTCGGAGAGGGCGAGGAATCATGCAATAGTGTCAAAGGCGGGAACCTGCCCCATTAATGTCCGCCCGCTCCATACTGCTACTCGCAGGTTCATAAGGCCAAGATCAAGAGGTTGGTTGGGGAAATGCTGGCCGCAGGCATTATTCAGACCAGTGTTGGCTTGTATTCAAGTCCCATCCTATTGGTGAAGAAAAAGGAAGGAAGCTGGCGATTTTGCGTGGACTACTGTGCCTTGAACAAGGAAACGGCGCTGGATCGCTTCCCGATCCAAGTGATTGATGAACTCCACGGGGCTACAATTTTTTCTAAGATCGACCTTAAGTCTGGATACAACCAAATCCAGGTGCGAAAGGAGGACGTGCCTAAAACGGCTTTTCACACACATGATGGGCACTACGAGTTCCTCGTCATCCTATTTGGGCTCACGAATTCCCCGGCCACTTTCCAATCCCTCATGAACGAAGTACTGCGAGTTTTCCTTCGCAAGTTCGTTCTAGTGTTCTTCGATGATATACTAGTTTACAGTCGGACTTTAGAGGAGCATAAGCAGCATTTGGATCAGGAACTTGAGGTGCTATAGCGGCACTAATTGTTCACCAATGCCAAGAAGTGCAGTTTTGGGCATAAATCATTAGAGTACCCCGGTCATATTATTTCCGGGGAAGGGGTGTCGGCTGATCCGTCAACAATTGAGGCCATGTTGAATTGACCTGCTCCAACCAACTTGATGGACTTAAGGGGATTTCTCGGTTTGACTGGCTATTACAGAAAATTCGTGGCGGGGTATAGCAACATAGCGGGGCTACTAACGAACTTGCGACGGAAGGACAATTTTCGGTGGAATGAGGCGGTAGCACAAGCTTTTGAAAATCTGAAGCATATGATGACAAAGGTGCCGATATTGGCCCTTCTCGATTTCACCAAGTTGTGCTTGAAACTGATGCTTCGGGCTATGGAGTGGGGGCGGTTTTGATGCAGGGGCAGAGGCCAATTGTGTATTTTAGCCAAGTTTTATCCACACAAGCTCGCAACAAGTCGGTTTATGAAAGGGAGCTGATGGCCACAGCAATGGCGATTCAAAAGTGGCGTTTGTATCTCCTTGGTCAACACTTTGTGATCTGGACTAACCAGCGGAGCCTCAACTATTTATTAGAGTAGCGTTTGGTGAAGACAGAGCTCAGAAATGGATGGCAAAACTCTTGGGTTATGACTTCGAAATTCAGTACAAATCGGGGCTCTAGAATAGGGCAGCGGATGCCCTGTCCCGCCTCTCTGGCAACCCTGTTTTGAGTGCACATTCGGTGCCTCAAGTCCTCAACACGGAGGAATTACACCAGCAAGTATTGCTTGATGAGAGGCTAGCGAAGATTTGGTCCGATTTGCAACAAAATTCAGCAGCACATCCAGGATTACTGGTTGTGGTGGACCGGCTCAGCAAATATGGTCATTTCATTGCCCTGAAACATCCGTTCTCCGCGGAAACAATGGTTGGGATTTTCATTCGTGAAGTGATTCGTCTCCATGGGGTGCCTCGCACGATTGTGTCAGATCATGACCGCATCTTTCTTAGCCATTTCTGGACGGAACTCTTTAGGCAGTTGGGCACCACCCTCTCGCGCAGCATTGCATACCATCCCCAGTCGAATGGGCAAACCAAGGTAGTCAATAGGTGCGTGGAGGCGTACTTGCGTTGCTTACATCTGATAAGCCCGGGCAGTGGCACAAGTGGCTGCCATGGTCGGAGTATTGGTACAATACCTCGTTTCATACCGCCACTCGAACAACCCGCTTCCAAGTGGTCTACGGGCGCACTCCTCCCCCTCTATTGCGCTATGGCACGGGAGCTTCTTCAGTGGACTCGGTCTAGAGGCAGCTTATGGAGCGGGATGCTATGCTGGACTTATTGAAGTATCACCTACTCCGCGCTCAACAAAGGATGAAGACTTTGGCCGATGGTAAGAGAAGGGATGTACACTTTGAGGTTGGGGAATTGGTCTACCTCAAGCTTCGTCCTTATCGATAGAACTCTTTGGCATGCCGCCGCAATGAGAAGCTAGGTCCTCGCTTCTACGGCCCTTTTGTGATCATTGCCCGTGTTGGCCTGGTGGCCTACCGCCTACGCCTTCCAGAGGATGCCGCTATACATCCGGTGTTTCATGTCTCCTAGCTGCGCCGAGCCATTGGACGGCGTCAGCCTGTGGCCAATTTACCACCTCAGCTCACAGTGGACTTGGAGTTGCACGCTGACCCTGCTGCCTTACTAGGAGTGCGCCAACGTGTGAGGGGACATTCTGAATTGGAGCTACTGATTCGTTGGGCTGATATGCCTGAACATGAGGATACATGGGAGTCTTTTGAGGCGATCAACAGGCAGTTCCCTCATTTCCACCTTGAGGACAAGGTGCGTCTTTGGGGCGTGGGTAATGATAAGCCTCCCTTGCGGTTCACTTATGCTAGGAAGAGATTTCATGGGAAGAAATCCTGTGTTGAGGCTTTTTGGTTAGGGAATGAATGTTAGTAATCGGAATAAATAGGATAAGGAAGAGAAAAGAAGGCATCGATCATCTTGCTAGACAGAAATTAGCTGAGCTTTGCTCTAGGGAGTGCAAGGGGTCACTCAAAAACCCCCATATCTTGTACTCTTTTCCTAGTTTGCTCAATAGCAATATCAGTATTATTCAGCTTGTTGATCATTTTTCTTGCATATTTGCTCTAAAATTGTGTGATAGCTTGTGGTTCTATCAGGCAACTTGATACTTTTCTCAGAAAATTCACAATCCTTCAAATAACAAAGTAAAGCAAGGCTGCCATTCATAGTTTCTTTCTGTCTAAAATGGATTTATTTGTTTTGAACACAAATTCGATCAGTTATCATGCTTCTTTCCTTTTGTCTCAATCGGAACTTTCTTATTTTGAGATGATAAAGATTCAGCTTAGTTTTATCTCAGCTTGCACTACATTTGTCTAGTTCTCTGGTTTCTTATTGAAGTTTTACTTGTACAGGGTGTTTATTATTATTTCTATCAAATATTCAGGAACAAGGCTGAAGCTGCTGCACTCGAGCAAATGAAGGTAGGAAATGGTGATGGATCAGTTGGGATGGTCTCATCTCTTGTGGTGGCTGCATTATCTGGGTAATTCATTTGGCTGATACAGTCATGTGTCTTATGGCATTGATTATTTCTTATTATACCTTAAGCATGGCTGTAAGTTCTTTATTGTATCAACTGTTTCTTTGTCTTTTTCCGAAAAGAAGTGAAAAGTTGGTAATAGCAAATTGCATGGCGTGAGAAGAGGGGGGAAGCCATTTTTCACCTATTTTAATTTTTACTTCGTTCTTTTCATGAATATAATTTTCTGTTATGAATTTCCTGAAATTCACTTCTTTCAGGTGTGTGAATGTGCTGTTGACAAATCCTATATGGGTAGTTGTTACGCGCATGCAGGTAATGAAATTTAAATTTTCAGTCTGTCTCCAAAAATTTTTAGTGATCGGGATTGTTTTTTGTTTGTGTTAATTTCCAACTGGATTGGGTAAGCAAAGGCCAAAGAGTGAGTACAGAAAAAATTGTTAGAAGCAAGTCTACTCACTCCAATTTCCTTTTCCAACTTGTGAACTGAGAAATACATTTCGTGCCAATTAAGCAGCAGGAAATTTCAGCAACAATCTATTTGCTTCGTTCTATCTATAATGATTTGGATTCCTGGATAAGTGGTTTTAAGCTGACTGACGATCTGGAACTTGGATAAGGGTTGAACTTCTTAATAACCTTTTTTTGGCAATATCACCGTATATTTTCTTCTGTTGTGCCAATATCTTGTTTTGCCAAATTAAGGCATGGGCACTCTCTCAGCCTCTCTGCAAGTTTATAACTAGAGCTTTTTTTTATTACAGACTCACACAAAAATCGCAAAGAAGTCCCAGCCTGGTCAGATGCAGTCAATTACTCCAGGTGAAGCAATTCTTACTGCAGCTGAGCCACCTCCCTACGGGACTGTCCATGCGGTTGGTGCAATCACAATCTTTTCCTTCTCTTTATGATAATTCTGAGGGAATTGTAAGACTAGCAGTTTATTGCTGAATGCTGATATAAACCTTGTTAGATACTATTCCCACGGCATTAAAAATCATTATGCTTTGGTGCGAAGCAGTACATTATATTGCTAAAAGTAAGTAATGTTAGAGGATAATTAATGGCAAATCCTTTCATTAATGATCAATTTCAAAGTACTTGTACAAGCTCATTCTATGGCATAGGACTACACTCGAATTGTTTGGAGGCATCGCTTTGTTACAATTAGTTTCTTTGCTGACTCAAGTTAGTGTTTTGCGATTTTTATCTTGCCATTAGATTTTTTCTTATCTTCTTTTGGCAACTGTGAGGAAATCAGAGACACTGAATCCCAAACTCGAACAGAATCAAAAGAAAAAAGAACACAGGCGATTATACTTGGTTTGGATCTCCGATCCTACATCCAAGTCATGGTTTCAACCCTAGCAAATCCACTATATAGAACAGTGACACCCTCAGTGATCACAATTAGAAAATCTCTCAGCTTACAAGTACAAGATTTTCTCAGGAACCAAAACAGGTTCTCAATACACAGAACAATCTCTTAGCTTTAGACTTTCTCTCTCCTCTGTAACTTTATCTCTCAAAAACATACTTCGATAATCTACAATTAACTAAATCTGATATATATATACACAATTGGATGCCAATGAGAATTAGACACGTCATCAATTCCTGAGCCGCCTCAGTAACAAGTTGCTGTCTTGAACCAACTTGGCATAACTGATCTCTAACTTCTTAACCAACTCTTCAATTAGAGCCAATCTTCACAATTCTCCACCTTGGATCTAGATTGAATAACATAGTGGATTTGACTAGGATACCCTATCTCACGAGTGAACATCATTCCAAAATGCTGAGCAAGCTCAACGCTTCCTTGAACTTGCCAACTGGAATTACCTTGGTGAACAAATCAGCATGATTTACTTCAGTTGCTATCTTTTCCACATTCACCAACTATCTAGCAACTATATCCCTTATAAAATGCAATCTAATATCAATATGCTTCGTCCCCTCATGAAACATAGCATGTTTAGTGAGATGGATTGCACTTTGTGAATCACAGTACACATTCACAAAACTTTGTTGAATAACTAATTCACTGACCAATCCCTTAAGCCACAAAGCTTCTTTCACAGCTTCAGTTAAAGAAATGTACTCAGCTTCTATTGTCGACAAAGCCACCACATGTTGCAAGGATGATTTCTAGCTTACCACATTCCCTCCAACTGTAAAGACATATCCAAAAAGTGACATTCTCTTGTCTAAATCTCCTACAAAATCTGAGTCACAATAACCAGTAACTTGACAACTTCCTTGCAACGATATGGTATAAGTCAGCTTTAGCTTTAAGGATCCTTTGATATATCTAAGCAACCATTTCAAATCTTGCCAGTGTGAACTTCTTGGCCTGCTCATATATCTGCTGATCAGACCTACTCCATATGCAATATCAGTCCTAGTTGACACCATTGCATACATTAGGCTTCCCACCACATTTGAATATGGAACTGACTTCATATAAGCGGCCTCCATTTTTGAATCTTGATCCTTCATAGATGTTAACTTGAATTGAGCACCTATAGGAGTATTGACTGCCTTAGCTTGTTGCATACCGAAGACATCAATAACTTTCTTCAGATAACCTTCTTGAGATAAGTCAAGATGCCCTTGACCCTGTCTCTTACAATCTCCATGTCCAAAATCCTTTTGGCAGGACCTAAATCCTTCATTTCAAATTCAGAACTCAATAAATCGTTCAGCTTTTGAATTTTTGATTTCTTACATGCAATTATGTGGAAATTCGGTGTTTAAATTACTAGGGTTAAGTTAGTCTTTTGTTTCCTGTTTATTATCTTTCCTAGGATTAGAAATATTGTTGTAGTTTATCAGTTCCTTGTTTTGAGGATCGATTGGGGCATCTCCTCCTATTTAAACTTATTTTCGTTATTCATTATTCAATAAGAAATATTCTAGTTCTTTCTCAATTCTTCACATGGTATCAGAGCCTACCAAAAATCCCTCTCTGATGACCAAATACGGAATGGCCACTGAGAGGTAGAAGGAGTCATCATCCGAAGTCACTTCAGGCACTGGAGTCTCGAATCCTAGCACCTATGGCATTGCAGAAGGTGTTCATCCTCCCATTATAGGGCACAAACTGAATGGGAACAATTATCTTCAATGGTCGCAGTCCGTTATGATGTACATATGTGGAAAAGAGAAGGAAGAATATCTCACAGGCGAGATCATCCCTCCAAAGGAAGGGGATCCCAAATTAAACAGAGAACAATATGGTCATGTCATGGTTAATAAATTCAATGACCAACGAAATAGGTGAGAATTTTTTGCTCTATAGCACTGCACATGAAATATGGGATGCGGCTAAAGAATTTTACTCAAGTAAAGAAAATACCTCAGTAATTTTTGAGATCGAAACCACTATCCATGACCTTCGACTAGGAGATCTTTCTGCCACCCAATTTTACAATATCCTCACCCGTAATTGGCAACAATTAGACGTATTTGAGGACTCTAAGTGGGACTGTCCGGGTGATGCAAAAAGATTTAGAGAAATTGTGGAAAAGAAGAGAATATTCAAATTCTTGATGGGACTCAACAAGAACTTGGATGAAGTTTGAGGAAGAATATTAGGGACAAAACCCCTACCAAGCATCCGAGAAGTTTTTTCTGAAGTGCGCAGAGAAGAAAGCAGGAAAAAGGTGATGCTCGGGGAATCATCCATCAGTGCTTCGATCACGGATAACTCATCTACCCTAGCTATTTGAGGAGCCCAGAACACCAGCTACGACAATCGGCAGAAGAAGGGGAGACCATGGTGCGATCATTGCCGAAAAACAGGACACATCCGTGAGACATGCTGGAAACTACATGGCAAACCTGCAGATTGGGAACCTTCCAGACCAGCTACGGACAAAGATAACCGCGGAAATCATGTTGCAGTTGAAGAAGGAAATTCTACTTCCTCGGAATCCAATCCTTTCAACAGGGAACAGCTTGAAACTCTACAAAAGATGTTCTTACAAGCGGCAACTGCTCATGGTAATATTGGAAACGGATCTTTGGCACACAAAGGTAATTACTTGAGCGCTCTTTCTGTTAATTCCGAAAATAAGGACACATGGATAGTAGACTCGGGTGCATCTGATCACATGACAGGAGACAGAACTATGTTTCATCATTACAGACCATGTCAAGATGATCTTACAATTAAAATTGCTGATGGGTCACTCTCTAAAGTGGTTGGAACTGGTTCTATTATTCTCTCAGAAACCTTAGAGTTGAAGATAGTACTTCATGTTCCTAATCTGGACTGCAATCTTTTATCCAGTGAGTAAAACTCTCTCAAGAAATTAATTGCGTTGCTAAATTCTCCTCGGATTTGTATGAATTTCAGGTTTTGGATTCGGGGAAGATGATTGGCAGTGCTAGGGAAAGCTCGGGATTTTATCTTCTCAAAGTTGACAGACCTCCTAGAAGACAAACTCATACCGTAGGCTTAGTATCTGTTGAAAACACCAATAAAGATAGTGCAATCATGTTATGGCACTATCGTCTAGGTCATCCAAATTTTTTATATATCGAAAAATTGTTTCCTTATTTATTTATCAATAAAAATCCGAAGTTGTTTCAATGTGAAGTGTGCCAATTCTCAAAACATGTTCGTAATTCTTACCATATTCAGCCATACAAAGCATCTCATCCTTTTTCCATGATTCATAGTGATGTATAGGGGCCCAATACTATCATTTAGACACAATTTGCCACAAAGATACAAGTGTTGAAGACTGACAATGCAAAAGAATATTTTGAGACAACTCTAGGAGAATATCTTGGGAGCCAGGGCATTATTCACCAAAGTTCTTGTGTTGACACACCCCAACAAAATGGGGTGGCAGAAAGGAAAACAGACACATTCTAGAGGTTGCTTGTTCACTCATGTTCACTACCCATGTTCCAAAATATTTCTGGGGAGAGGCTGTTTTAACAGCCACTTACCTAATAAATAGAATGCCTTCCCGAGTCTTGAAGTTTCAAACACCACAGCGTGTTCAATTTTTTCCCAATACCCGAGTCCTAATTACTCTGCCTCCTAAAGTATTCGGTTGCTCAGTGTTTGTCCATATTCATGCCCAACACCGAAGCAAACTTGATCCTAAGGCTCTCAAATGCATATTTTTAGGATATTCATCACACCAAAAAGGGTATAAGTGTTATTCTCCGACTACTCGAAAATTCTACAACTCCATGGATGTCTCTTTCTTTGAAAATCAACCATTCTATCCCAAAACTAATATTTAGGGGGAGAATTTTACTCAAGAATACCAGCTCTGAGATATTGATGCACCAGAGTCACCTGATGGCCACAACACAAATCCACTCGAGTCATCCCAAGCATCCCAAACACAAATCGAGTTTGACACTCGAACTCCAAATCCAGTCCGGCTCGAGTATGACACTCAAGCCCCTCATAGTTCCACTCCAACTCAGCCTGCAGAAACTAAAGAGTTATGTGTCTATACTAGGAGGAACAAGACTCAAGAAGATAAAGCATTGCAGCCAACTCATCACGGCCATGAATCCAACCCGGGTCTGGAATCACAAAACTCACTAGGTTACACTAGTCTTGAAACTGCTCCTAATAATCAGCCTGATGAAGATATTGATGATAGACCCATTGCATTGAGGAAAAGCACACGGTTATGTACTAATCACCCTATTTATAATTTTATTTCATATGGAAAATTGTCCTCCAATCACCGTGCTTTTGTTAGCAATCTGGACAGAATACAGATTCTTAATTCTATACATAAGGCTCTTCTCATACCACAATGGAAGGAGGCAATTTTGGAAGAAATCCGAGCCCTAGAGAAGAATGGAACGTGGGTGATGTCTGAATTACCATCAGGAA